AGGAAACATAAACCTCTGAGCTGCGATACTTCTGCAGCATATCCGGCTACTATTCTTCATGTATTTGTACCGTGGGACCTAGTTGTAATCTGGTACATGGAACAGGAAACAAAATGAAAAATGAACGTGTTGATCTTTTCTTGTTAGAATAAGTAGTCCACTCGACTTAGAGTACAGCCTATGCTGTTGGATATGTTCTGTTTAATTGCGATTAGAAGTCGATAATTATTCCTGTCTATTGTGTTATCCACAAAGTCAAAACCTAGTAAGATGAACTTACTCTCCTTGCGGTATCTCAGTAATCTGTATCCTCGCCGTATGACAGAGTGTTATGAACACATAAAAACTGTTCCTAATTTATAACACATCAGTCAGAAGAAATCTCACAATCTAGTTAAATTCAGTCACATTAAGATGATATAAATACTACATAATATGAGTATAAATGTTAAAGTCTATTCGAAATATCATTCAGTACTGTTTTACTGTATGAAATTGAGAGCAAACTAACCAATATGCAAACGTTAATGAATATCCTCTTGATTTCAACATCAACTATCTCATTTGTGAAAACTGTTGTATTAACTAAGCAGACAGGTTTCTTAAACTTTAAAAGATGGTGAGAACATTGAGAATAATGGATGTCTCCTTCATCTGGGTAAAACTGGTGTACGTTTATACTTATGTTGATATGAAGATGTGAAGGTAGCAGTCCACTTTATGATTTTCAGTTCTACTAGATTGACAATCCTTATTTTGAGTAGATGAGACAGGATGGTATTATAACTACAAATTTGGATTTGGAGGTTTGTAGGGATTTAATCATTGATTCCAGGTTGGTATTCATTATGGACTGACATCATTTGTAGAACCACTGAAAACCTGCAGACACTGGAAAGTTTTCTCGACGATGTCAGTTCATTATGAAAACTAACTCTAAATTAATAGAATCCCCACAAACCCTCAAAGAGAGGTGAGGATAAATACTTAGTGACAAGATTAGGTGAATGTTAAGCTATATCACCATTAATAAAAGTACGAAATATGGACCAGTTGATTCACCATCTAGTTGGTCAATAGTAGCTAGCTGGCTACGAACCTCAAGGTCCTTGGTTCGATTCCCGGTGTGACGGGTTCATAGGTGCTTACTACTGAGCAGTCTCATACTACACTGAAACAGCTTATTAAGTGCTCTCAGGTTCTCAGTGTTTTTTTAAACTGACATCAGTCCGTGATGAATACAAATTTTGAACAAAAGTCAATTAATACTGGTTGACCTATGAGTTGCGGGTTCGTTGCTCTTCCAACCGAGCTACTACACTCGACTGCCGATCTTAGTTTCATTTCCATCACCAAGGTTTTCCACAGCTGCCATTTGAATTAATAATGCATTACTATCGCTTGATCGTATTTACACTGGCTACCCATACAGGGATATTCATCCCAATTCAAACCAAGCTCATTTAGAGAGGGTGGGCAGCATACTGATTATCAATTACTCTGAGATAGCCGTACTTTATCATTTACATATAAATTTATTTGGAATAATTAAGTGAGCAAACGTTTAATATAATCAAAAAACCAGCTATTTTCCTTCTGTAACAGAAAAATTCTGTGAAAACACTGGACGAAGACGCAAACGTTGGGCAACAAATTAAAATAATAGTAATGTTGATGAAAAAAGGATGGTGACGAAATTAGGTGCATGGAGTAAATGCCTAACTTGACTTCTTTTCATTCCTAAATGAATAACTTTTGTGTTTTCTACTTGTCTAGCATATTAGAGCTGAATGTGAAGTTTATTTGTTTGACTGTAATATTAAACATAGGAGAATGGCACTCATTACATTGTGGAAGAGCCTAAGTTACGACTGTGTTACCATTTTTATATATTCCCTGCTTCTCTGTTGAAACTTCACGTAGATAATTTATTGAAATAGCTCTAGCCTGATGCTTTCATAACAGATTATCTCTTCAGAAAACGTTATATTTACTCATTTCCAAAGAATTCTAGACAGTTAGTTACTCACTACTCGACTTTGTTCCCATGTGATTTTATTGCATTATTTGAGCACTTAAGATTAATCTGGTTATTTCAGCTTATCTTAATACGTATATTGATTTATAAAAAGCATAACTAACTGAAAGTGTGATTGATTTAGCTGATATAAAAAACGTACATATTCCTGTATTAACTCCTAACACGCTTGTAGAAAACTATGAATTCTTGGCATGTATATATGATACAATTGCTTATCTTAAGAAAGTCTGTGTAACATTTGGCTTGAATGTATCATTACTCCGAGAAAACAGCAGGACCAGATAGAATAATGACAGGAACACTGAAAACAGACGAGGGATAACAGCGGACATGCTCACACCACCACTGCGAAGTACTTGAAAAGAAAGAAAGCTACCTAGTAAAACTTCAAAAGAAGGGAGAACAAAGACTTCGTAACAACAGGAGCAAAATCACGGTCCTATCCATCCGAATAGAAATATACAGTCACATAGTCACGGACAGCATAATAAATATTTCGCATTGAAAACTACCAGTGGAAAAGGATGTTCACCTGACTTCAGAAACAACAAATCATGTGCAGAAAAAATTGCAACACTACGATACGCATCATCATAGAACACACCATAGAATACAGTCAACTCAACTCTACATCAACTTCATCGACTATAAATAGACCTTTGACAGACATCCAAACAACAAGTCATTTGGCAGGCAGGCTGGACTTGACTGGATCATGCAACAAACCGTGAGGAGCTGTAAGAAGATGGGCATACGCTTCTCGACTGATGAAAATACCCTAAATGATCTGAATTTATTTGATGATTTGTGTCTAATATCGCACAAGCTGGAGGATGTAGGTACCGAAATCAGCAAGTCGACAGAAGAGGCAGGGTAGTGAAAATGGGACTTCAAGTGAATGCAAACAAGACAGGGGTGATGGGGATATCCAAACAACAACAACAACAACAACAATAAGCGCGAATCACCATCAACGGTAGAAATCTAGAGGAAGCAGCCTCTTTCACCTGCCTGCCTATCTAGGCAGACAGCATCGTTTCATCTACAGGCAGCATCATATGCATACATAAGGACGTCAAAGCAGACAGGATGAGAGAAGCAAGCAAGACAGGCCTTCATTGACCTGAAATAATCAGTGTGAAGATCTACTTGACTACACTCAGCAGAAAGTGTGAACAACATCCGCATTGTCAACACGAAGTCAGTCAAGTGACTCAGTGCTTCTATGTTATGGTTGACAGACTTGGTGTGTTACGAAGTGCATTTCCAACAATCTGCAGACATGTATGAACTGCTGCGGTCTACGCTCACTCGATAGTGACAGTGAAGATGAGATGAGTTGAGATGAGATGAGATGGTGAGAATAATGAGAATAAGCAACGAGAAACTCTAGGTGGCTGGCTGGCTGGCTGGCTGGCTGGAACGAAGCAATCAACCAAGAACTCATAACTTGACAAACATGCAGAAGAGAGTAGAGATGGATTGGATTACATTGGATTGGGTGTGCACTGAGGAGACCATTTGGGGACATCACTCATCATGCCAGACTAGGCTAGGTCGTCGAGTGGGACTTGTGTGGGAAATGACGAGTTGGGTGTCCGAGGTGAGTGTGACATGTAAGAGATTTTGTGAGTGAGAAATGAAAATATGTGTGGAGTGATGTGGCCAGGTTTGGAAGGCTGTGGAGAAGGGATTGAATTGGCGACGTGTTGCTGAAGCTCCATGTTCCACTAGGAACGCACGGGAAAAATAGTAACAATGATAAGTTGATGAAGTTGCTGTCGAACATAAACTTTCAACAATCCGGATGTTGTTCACACTTTCTGCTGAGTGTAGTCAAGTAGATCTGCACACTGATTATTTCAGGTTAATGAAAGCCTATCTTGCTTGCTTTTTTTCATGCTGTCTGCTTTGACGTCCTTATGGATGCCTGTGATGCCGCCTGTAGATGAGACGATGCTGTCTACCTAGGTAGGTGGGTAGGTAGGTGAAAGAGGCTGCTTCCTCTAGATTTCTACCGTTGATGGTGATTCGCGCTTAATGTTGTTGTTGTTCTTTCCTCCACGTTCACGTGAATGAAGCCCAGCCTTCCCTTGCTGCCTCATCTCTCCTGCCAACTTGTTATTTTACGCCTCTAGATCCAGTCAAGTCCAGCTTGCCTGCCAAATGACTTGTTGTTTGGATGTCTGTCGAAGGTCTATTCATAGTCGATGAAGTTGATGTAGAGTTGAGTTGACTGTCATTCTATGGTGTGTTCTATGATGATGCGTAGTGTAGTGTTGCAATTTTATTCTCATATAATTTGTTCTTCATCTTTCCTTGCATCTTAATCAATATCTTCTTGCCAGCAATTTTGCTGTTTTTCTTGTTTGTTGTCGTAAAATTTGGATTTTTCAACGTTGATGCAGCATTTGATTGGAATGATATACAGACATGTATGCTATTTCTAATACAATCTTTCTTCATTCTTTTTTTAACACAGGTAACAATTTCCTGTGTAATTTAGAAGTTAAAATACCTTTAAAAGAGTCTGCGTATTACATGGAAATTGCAGTAGTAACAAGGTGGTGATTTTTTCTTCTACATTGAATTGTTCAACAGTCATGAAACTAAAATCTGAAAGCATGTTTTTTTTGGTTAGAGTTGAAAGTTTTTGAATTTTTGTACAAGAAACTTCTATATAAAGCAACTTTTTCATATGAATGAAATTACGCTTTGAAAACAGTTTTGTTAAAACAATTGAAAAGTAACCCACAATCGGCATATTTAGCAAATACTCACAACTGGATTAAAAAATAGGAACCATACTAGGTATGTGCAATGAGTGGGGAGTTTGAAATTGTCTTATTGAAACCTATATGATAAGTTTGTTTGAGATGTTATGTACATAGAAATGATTATTTACTGAAATGTATCACATGAATCTTTTGAATGTAGCGGGTGGTTGATATAAAATCACATGAAATTTAATCTTGTCATACATAGTTCGACTGTATTATTATTGACTAAAAGTATAATATTACAAAATACAAGCAAATCCTATTGCTTGAAAACAAAACGACGATTATATAATGAAGCAATCAACATTAATTTGCACATTTTGAAGATTGTATCAACTAGAAAAACATTCTTGGAAGAAATCATGAAATCAATGTACAAATTTGTATTTGTTTTCATTAGTACACTAGTTATAACTACAGTTATACAGAATACCTCAGGTAATTCAAACAAAATCTGATGTCGTATTTACAACATATCGATTAAAGAATAGGAATGAATGAAAAGCTAACGTTTTTATTAAACTTTACTATCTCAATAAACAGGTGCTGGATTATTCGAAGAGGAGACAAGTAAGACCGGTTTTTGATTTTCAAGTTTGAAATATATGTGTATATTTGAAAGTTATTTAAAACAATTTCCAGTCTACTGTTCAATATCCTTTCTCATTTAAAACATATTATATAGTTTCATCTATTCTGTAACAATATTATGAATTATGGTCTAAAGACCCTAACATAGAAAAAGTTGATATTTTAACTATTTTCACACTATCATCTTCGATCTTCCATTTTATTTCAATATAGCAACAAGTAAGTTATTATCATGAGAAAGCTGAAATTATAGTGCTGAATAAAAGATTACCAAATCAATCGGTTATATAAGGAGTTATGAGGTAGGCAATAACTCAAAGCAAACACACCATATTCGGCTGTGATATGAGTATCATTACTTTACTCCATATAAAAACGAATAAATCTATGCCAAAACCATCATCAATATGTATATCTTCTGTCATGAGAATAACATAAGTATTGCATATCTAATTTTTTTTTTTAGTGTAAACCAGTCGATTTAAATTCATATTTACTTGCCAGTTGATAATTAAGGGCAAAAACATAGTACATAAGTTTATTTCATTTCATTGAAAGAACCATTTTTGGCATGCCAGCCTACACTTGATAGGAGTGGTTAATTTGGATATCATTGGAAAAAGGCATTGATGATATGAGGAATAACAAGAATAGATAAGAAAGTGATCAGACGTTACCAAAGAAATGAGAAACAATAACAACTGAAATGGAATTAATGAAGTAGATTGTAGAAATAGGTTTCATTGAACGATTTGGCCTTCAGCGCATAGGTGTTCCTTAATGTAAAACTAATGCCCGAGTTATGTATTAGTGGTGAAACCGTATACTTTTAGAATAATTCAACTTAAGTTCTTAGATTATCTTAAATAATAAATCATGAATAGATAGCTGCGTTTATTTCGATGGATGTTCTCATATGACTGGCGTTGATGCTTTTCATTAACATCAGTTAACCATTCGGATAGTACTGGGTAACTGTAAGTGGCGAAATAGCTTACAGTTCTCCAGTAAAACGTGTAAACTGGTAGATGTATATAGTAGGGAATATGAAAGACACACATTTCGCCATCCATAAGCCCATTAAATAACTACTTGAGAAAACTAAACATGAGCTCTTCAGTACTTAATTCGTCAGATCTTCTCCGTCTCCTAAATTTGGCTAATTTGACTTGATTAATTATTTTGGGATCCAGAAATTTCCTAGAACTTCCGTATTTCTTTAGGATTTATTGAAAACTAGTGGGGGTTCTGATACATCGGCTAGTGACTACCAAACTTAATTAAAATGGGTTGTGCATACAGTTAGTATTGCATAAGTGAATTTATAATTCCGTTATTAATGAGGAAGGATTATCAAACATCAGTGATAAGTTCAACAAAAATTCACTGCAATTCAAAGTACTAAATGAACAGAAAAACAGCTAAAAAGAAATGCGTAGTTGACACCCCACACTTTCAAGCATTTGTTTTCGACTCTTTTGATATATATATATATATATATATATATATATATATATATATATATAATATTATATTACTTGTTCTTTGCGTTCCTAGTGGAACATAGAGCTTCAGTAACACGTCGCCAATTCAATCCCTTCTCCACAGTCTTCCAAACCTGACCACATCACTCCACACATACTTTCATTTCTCACTCACAAAATCTCTTCCATGTCACACTCACCTCGGACACCCAACTCGTCATTTCCCACACACGTCCCACTCGACGACCTAGCCTAGTCTGGCGTGACGAGTGATGTCCCCAAATGGTCTCCTCAGTGCTCACCCAATCCAATACAATCCAATCAATCTATACTCTCTTCTGCATATTTGTCAAGTTATGAGTTCTTGGTTGATTCGTTCCAGCCAGCTAGCCAGTCAGCCAGTCAGCCAGCCAACCAGCCACCTAGAGTTCCTCGTCGCCTATTCTCATTATTCTCATCATCTCATCTCATCTTCACTGTCACTATCGAGTGAGCGTCGACCACAGCTGTTCATACATGTCTGCAGATTGTTGGAAATGCACTTCGTAACACACCAAGTCTCTCGACCATCACATAGATGCATTGAGTCACTTGACTGCCTTCGTGTTGACAATGCGGATGTTGTTCACGCTTTCTGCTGAGTGTAGTGAAGTACATCTTCACACTGATTATTTCAGGTTAATGAAAGCCTATCTTGCTTGCTTTTCTCATCCTGTCTGCTTTGACGTCCTTATGTATGCATATGATGCTGCCTGTAGATGAAACGATGCTGTCTGCCTAGATAGTTAGGTAGGTGAAGGAGGCTGTTTCCTCTAGATTTCTACCGTTGATGGTGATTCGCGCCTAATGTTGTTGTTGTTCTTTCCTCCACGTTCACGTGAATGAAGCCCAGCCTTCCCTTGCTGCCTCATCTCTCCTGCCAACTTGTTATTTTACGCCTCTAGATCTTGAAGACTTAGTTACTTAACTAAGACCATAAGTGATATGAATCAGTAATATATTGCTGAGTTCATTTATCCATTCATCTTTACAGTCTTCAAAGTTGTTTCTTGTACACTAATATGTACACGTTAGTTGTTTACTGAAACTATCCTTGTTTCACTTTGTTTATAAGCATATTAAAGATGCCTAATTCCTTTTTAGCTACAACAACAACAAGTATGTTCATTTAGTCGTTATTTAACCTTGTTAACAAGCTGTGCTTATTTTTTCTTATTCGAAAATGTTTTGTGGGACATTTTATTGCTTTCAAGGTTTTATTAGCTTAGCTGTAGGATGTCTGCTTTCATAATTTAGAAAAATCACAAACTGATTAATTTCCATTATCACTGCATATATAATTATTCTTACAGATATGTTTCAAAAATAACTAACCCTAGGTTAATCAGTGCTATTTTTCAATCAGTAAAACAAATATGATGTGTATATTTATTCCTGTGTAGTTTTATGAAGTAGTTTCTTAACTTTACTTCCAATAATAAAATGGTAAAAATTTTCTACCTCCAAATCTCTTTCTTGCTTTAAAGAATATACTGATTTTCTTGTAGGGCTTACAGCCTGTTAAGTTAAATTATATCTTCTCAATAAGGATATTTGTTAAGATTTTGTTCAATTCAAGCTGGTATTCAAATTGAACAACTATCTAGTATTCAATAGTAGCTTACTTCCAGATGAGATTTTATGAAGTTCTAATGAGAAGTCTCCGGTGACGGAAATTTAAGTAATCTACACTTTGTGGAACCTGAAGGTCATGGACTAAATTCCTGCAGATGTCGTAGGTGTGCACTGGTGATGAGTTTTCTACTAGGATAAATCAAGTGTCCATTATTCCCATGTATTCACCAATTCTCCAACTGATCTCAGTTTATGATGAATTCCGCTTTCAAGTAACACCACGTGATCAGTTTTCATTGGCTGAATGACATTTCGAATATTTCAAGTTGTTATTCATTGTAGACTGACATCATTTGGAGAACAAAGGAAACCTGGGTGTACTCGACAGCTGTTTCTCCCTATTATGGGACTCCTCAGCAGTGCTCACCAACTACCCGACAGGGATCCAACCCGCGACCTTCAGGTTCCTGAGCCACTGAGTCAGAATCCAATGTTCAAATTTCAACTTCTGTTAGCTCACGATATAACGCAACCGAATATTAACAATAACACATTTAACCTTGTAATGTAATTTATTATGAGAAGCAAAAAACTGCATAGTTATATTCCGGTGACAGCGATTAGATGAAGTCAGGCTTTCATTTAACAGACTATGTTCCGTTTGACTGGAATAAATTTAAACAAAAATAAACTTATTTTACCAAAAATTACTAATTTACCTTCAAGTAAAATATTCACTTGATGAATTTCTTAAAACAACTTAGCCACAACAAAAAGTTCAGCTAGTAAGTGTGTATTTAGACATTTTCTACAATTGATGTGAAATTTAATTAACGTTCTATGAAGATCATTAGACAGTTCAATTTTTTTTTTTGAGGTGATTATGAACAGATTTTATGATATAGGACACAATGTTTCCCTAAGTATCCGGTATAATACAACTATGTAGATGAAGTTGTTGAGTTAACTAAGTGAATGTCATACTACTGAAGGTATCATTTAACACTACTCCAGTCTAGATAAACTCAACAGCTAAATAACTTAGGTTAATAAAAATACATGCAAGTTAATTATAGGTCTTTCAGTTGAAACCATACAAAACCCATGAAACTGAAATTGGGATCCTTATGAAAACATACAAACAGTTTTCCAGTCAAAGATATCTTCAAAAGAATAAATTATGCTTCAGCTATTGGATGATAAATAATGAATTGAAATCTAAGTAACATTTTAGTCATTATTGTATATCATAATTGGAAAGTGATAACATGAAATCTGTACTTCACGTAAACTAATTGAAAACATCTTTGTATTTGATGTTTTGATTTTTAGATTCTTTGAATCTCTCCTGCCTTACAATTCTTTCAACGATTCTCATAATCATTGGAATGATGAACACTCATATTTTAAAATATTAGCGTTTTTTTTTGTTTTAAAGAACAATGTTGATTATATATGAAAACTCAGAAGATTTTAAACTTACTGATATGCTACTAATAACAATAATTAAGGAGATTTTGTGATTTTGTTTGTTTATCTCACCAAATTTACAACATCTTGGAAGTATTCATTTATGTTAACAGGAAGAAAGTACTATTACCTTTGTGCATATAGGAACATAAGCATTCTATCTCTTTATTATAAAAATGACATTGTCATTAAATTTTCTTCAAGTTTTTGTGATTATTGATTGAATATGTTGAATTCTGCACTCTGTCGTACCTGCAACTAAATATTTTAAAGTTGTGTTTTCTAAAGTATCACGATATTTTGAGTAAATCATCTTCTTGGAAAAACTTTTATTGATCAGTAGAACTCCACTAGTAATAAGTTTTTAAGCAATACGTACAGCACTGAATCTAAAGTTCATTGTTGTCCTCCTGATTCATAGTTGGTACTTATCATAATATATACACCAGACGTTTTTTTGAGTACACCATCAGCGGAAGAAACTTAAAAGAAGTAGCCTCTTTCACCTATCTAGGTGGCACTGTTTCAACTACAGGCGGCACAGCCACAGACGAGCACAACAGAGACAGCCAGGATCGGAAAGACAGCAATACAGGTGTTCATTAACCTGAAACGAGTGTAAAGATCTGCTGCACTCAGCATGTGGAATAAGATCCGGATTTTCAACACTATTTCAGTGCTTGTAAATGGTTCGGGGACCTGGTGCCTTACGAAAGGCATTTCCAACAAACTACAAACACTCATCAACAACTGCCTACTCTGACTCGTTACTGAAGATCAGATCAGATGACCACAACAATAAGAATAAGCAACAAGAAACTCTGGCTGGTGGCTGGCAACAAGTCAACCAACAACCTATCACTCATCAAACATGTAGAAGTAAGTGTGGATGGATTGTGCATACACTGAGAAGTCTGACTGGGGACATCATGCCCCAGGTCAGGCACTCAAGTGTAATCCAGAATGGGAAATGACTAGTTGTGCGTCCGAGGTGACGGTGACATGGATGAGATCATGTGAGGAATAAATGAGAGGTTGTGGGTAGTCGTGGAACCAGGTTCAAAAGATTTCAGAGAATAGAGTGTACTGGAGACATGCTATCGAAGCCATGTGTTCTACTAGGAACAAATAATATATAATAAGTAATAATCACTATCTTTTCGGAACCAACAAGTCTACTTGTAAATGGGCTTGATTGGTAGGTGGTGAAGAATATTTCGTAGCTCAGATTGATGAACACGTTTTTCATAATAAATTGAAATGATAACATAACTTTTAATTCTTGTTCATATAGCTATATGACCTTCTATTCTACAGCTTTAACGCTTGAAAAACCAAACTTATATCCAAATTCAAAGTTTGATCATTTTTATCGCATGTATTTGATGTTGATTCGATGATCTAGGATGATGGTTTTCAACAACGCAGATAACCTAGATATGAACTTAACCATTACATAGCATGTACTGACGCACTATAAGGCCGTGAAATTAAGACAGGAATTTCAAGACTAAATGTTCAAATCAAGCTTGAGTAATACAAAACTAAATGACAAGGTGGAGCATATAACTTCCGAATAGAAACGTTGGATTCATGTAAGATATTGTTAAATGGTAATAAGGATTTACAGGATTAAAAGCCTAAGATAGTTATTCACTTAGGTGGTTAGTGAACTACTGAAAGTGCATTAATTGTGTCAATGATACATGCTTGGTATTGATAGTCTAGTTTTAATTCCGAACATGATTGAGAACAAATTACGTGCTCAAAATGGGAAAATGACAGGGGGTTAGAATAATTAACTATGATATTTGAAGCGAATTCGGGACAGTAAAATACAGTCATGAAATGCTGAAAAATATAAAACACTGATATTTAATATTCTCAACACAAATGCACTATGACGCAACTTTATGCATAATGGTATGTATGCAAAAACATAGTAAAACTTACATAAAATCACATGGCATTCTGAATTATTATGATTATTATTTATACCTTGGGTTTCTGGTGAAGTTGATCTTCATACTGATTATTTCAGGTTAATGAAGACCTGTCTTGCTAGCTTTCCTGATGCTGGCTGCTTTGACGTCCTCATCTGTGCCTGTGCCACCGCCTGTAGATGAAACGATGCTGCCTGCCTAAGTAGCTAGTTGAAAGAGACAAACTCCTTTAGATTTCTCCCGTTGATGGAAGTTGGTGCTTGTTGTTGATGTTGTTTTTGGTTTGGTATCTTCATCACCTCTATCTCCTATACGTCCACTTGAAGCCCCGTCTTCGCTTCCCTGACATGCCTCTTCTGCCAGCTTGTTGGTTTCCTCCTGTAGATCTTCGAGTGTACGCAACAAGACATCAGACATAAATCATCGGCGAAATCCAAATCTACTAGTGTTTTTCCATCTGTCGAACAGCGTATGCCCATCTTCTCACAGCTCCTCGCAGTTTGCTGCATTGTCCAGTCGAGTCCAGTCGACCACTATCGGGAAGATGATCGGTGATGATAGTAGGCAGCTTTGTCTTACTCACTTCAAAGGCGTCACTGAGCTCGCCATTGTCAATCACTTGACACATGGAGTCGTCATATGGTTGTTGAATGACATCCATAAAGGTTTGTGATATTTCGTTGTGTTGAAGCAACTGCTTACCGAATGTCTTGTCGGTTGAATACCTGTTGAAGTCATTTTGATAGTCGATGAAGCTGAGGTAAAGTTGAGTTGACTGGCATTCTATGCTTTGTTCCATGATGATGCGTAGCATGGCCTCGCAATTTGATCCGCACATGATTTGTTATTTCTGAAGCCAGCCAACCAGCCTGTTCCGGTAGTAACTTTGAATTCAGCACATCTGTTAATCTCTCCAGGATGATACGGCATAACATTTTGCTAGGGGTAGACATGAGCATGGTTCCGTGCCAGTTCTTGCAAATACGTAGGTCACCCTTCTTTGGGATTTGGACAAGGTAGCCCTTCTTCCGATTTTCAGGTACCTTTCCTTCCTTCTATCTTCCTTCCAAAGCTTCTGCAATAATGGTGTGAGTATGTCCGCTGTTGTCTCTGCATCTATTTCCAGTGTTTCTAGAGAAATTCCATCCAGTCTTACTGCTTAGCCCTGCATTCTGAATAAGTAGTGCTTAATTTGAAAACTTTAGAGACAGAAACATTGACACAAGAGTGAAGACAATGAAGTGAGTCAGAAACGCAAATAAGATACTTAATTGAGTGCAACTGAACCACAGACCTCGAAATAAACATAAACATATGAGGTGAAATCTTGGTGAATGGATCTCTGTTCACTGAATGGCTGGAAAGCACATGCAATAAGAATGATTCAACGACAATTCCTGACATATGCAGTATTCTACTGCTACTTAGATCAAGCAGTGAATAAAACAAGGATATATAAACTGAACCAAAAAGTTGTGTGAACATTTGAAAAATTTCTGATCAATAAATTTGCTAAACTGACCATTCAATAATATGTGCTGTGTCATATAATCATTGTACTTAGTACGAAGTCGCGCTTGCATATGAAAGCGAATTATCGTACAGTCTATGTTTCCAACTATGAGAGGACTTTAGAAGTGTATTATGTACCATTTCATATAAGCTGTAACCACGACAGCTGTTTCGTAAGCCTAAAAATATGTAAAGTTTCTTGAAAACTGTAGAGAAAATCTCTTTTAATGACTAATGAACAATTTTTTCAATATCTTTTATTATGTATAAAAGCTTTTATCATTTATCAAGTTATCCTATGATAAAAAATAATTTTTTCGTGAAGAGAAAATTAAGATGTGACCATTTCTGTACACTCAGTGTATGCGGTTTAGAAACTGAGATTTAATTGGCCCTCATAATAATGCGGCCGGATTCGAAGTAGCAATCACCGGGTTTCCAGCCCGATGCTCTACCAACTGAGCTACAAGGTCGAACTGATGTCCAGATTTTTACTTCACTTTAATCACAAGTAGAGTTTTGCCCAACTACCATATGAATTCGTAAAGCTTTACTAAAATTCCGGCCAGATGCTCTACAGGCCGGAAGCCCGATGATTGCTACTTCGAATCTGGCCCCAGTACAATTTTTCATTTCACCTGCATTCATCACCCAGTATAACAGCTTGTCTGCCAAACCACGGCCATCTCAGATATCCAAAATAGAATGTCGAAAAATGAACTTCTCCTAAAGCCTTCTTAGATTTATACTTCATGAGTAAAATTTATTTGTTGTGGCTTATTTCTTTATTGCCTCCAACCTAGATAAAATGGTATCTAAGGATGAGGAAAAATTTAAGTAAAAACATCTCATATGTACCTTGAAGAAAAAAGCTTCGCCAGGTAACAAAAATCCCTAGAATTATATAATCCTTATTATCTAAATCAGCTTTCATTCCATACAGCTAATAATTTATTCCTTCTTCGACTATAACGATCTTTCTTAAAATGGAGACTAGTTATGCAATCTTCGCTCCAATGAACTAGGACAAATGAAAGTTGCTTACTTATCTTTTCAAAAAGCATGTGTATATTGTTAGTCAACAAAGGTGAATGTAAGTCGAAGAGTAGTTTACCAGAATCATTCTGTTTCCATTCTGTAGTTATCCTAGATCTTCACACTGCAAATAATGTTAGTCTTATGCAGTGAACTGACTTGTCAGTGCATATCCTATGTATGTACAAGTCAAAAGTTTTACCTTCTGAGTGTTAGACTTTAGTTTTGTTTGTTTGCTTGTAAGAAGCAGATTGAAAGACTTTTAAATATCAAATTTTGTTGTTTTAGATAAACGTTGTCAGAAACTGAATAGTTTTATTTTTACCATAAAATAGATGTAATGGTAGATAGTGGCTAGCAGTGGAATTCAGGATGCATATTTCGTCCTATTTGGGACTCTTCACATGGATGTACCTGCTTCCCAGTGAGTGATGTTGTTCCCACTGGGATTCAAACTC